GGACTCTGCAGTCGCAGCAGCACACATACAAAGGGCAAGCTGGAATCCAAAGCCACCTCCGTTGTGGACATGTCCCACGTTGGCCCGACTAATCGGAGTGCAATGTTTGAAACCACTGGGCGGCCTCCCAGAGGTCAACTCACAGTGAAAGAAATCCTAACAGACCAAGATTGTAAGCCATCATCGGGGGTAAGGTCATCTGTATTAATAAGCACTAAGCACATGGTTTGTTTGAATGGAAGAAATATTCCTGTTAACGGTCTGGTGGTTGGCTGGAAAAATACATCGTTCCTAACCTAACTGCCTGCTCAAGCCATCTACCAGTTTTGTGATAGGGAGGGAGCTTCTTCACTAATCAAAGCAAAACAACACCACAAAACCCTAAGGAAGGGCTGAAGCTACTAGGTAAAATGGAAGAGATTATGCTGGTAACTGTGTGAGCATTCAACAACGCAGGTTTCAATTCAGAAACCTGCCAAATGCCTATTGACATCAACCCAGTGAATTCCTATGGAATTAGGGTCCCAAACGAGTGGCCCTGGAAATGGACAGCTGTGTCTGTCAGCAGCAATAAAACACGAGAAAAGATTCAATCTGGAACAGTGCTGGGCTCTGCCAGTCCCACTCTGATAGTCACGATCTGTATCTCTGAAAGATAAAAGCAGGCATTTTTAGTGAACAGTGTACTGACTATCTTCGGAACAAGGATAACACCCTGAGTTTTAGGCTTGGTTTCTGCTGGACATGGTCCCCTCCTGCTTTAGAAAAACTTTTAAAAAATCAGAACGTGAATGCCAAAGAAAGCAAGCACGGGAAAGAGGAAGAAAAAAGCTTGCAGGAAGAAGGGTAAGATGAAAGAGAAGGACAGCATGAACAGAAACAGTGCTCTGCACAAGAGCACCAGGGGTACAATGAATAAATTGTAATCAGAAATCAAATACTAGATCTTCTGTACCTTCATACTCTTGCTACTGTGAGCTGACTGCAGAATAAATCTTGGAATGTGCTAAACCTGCATGATTCTCTTTAGGAGAAGATTAATTTGTTAGGGACATGTCTTAGTGAACAGAGAATATACTGGAATATATCTTGTATCCTCACAATTAGATGCATTAATTTTAAGCAGATGCCTATCAACTTACTAACTGTATGGTTCCTACTTCATTATTTAAATAATCATAATTACACACCTTTGTAATTGATTTCCTAGGAATTTTTAGGCCGATATGGAGCTGCTGGCAGACATACTCTGTGTTAGCAAGTGTCACAGCTGTGCACCGAAGTGACATGCTTTCCATTTTGGTAAAACTAAAAAAACAACAGAGTGGCTTCATTCTAGCCCCAAACTGGCAGCATGAATCACAGCAGTGGATGCAATGTGGTAATAGAGAGTATAATGGCATACTTCTATTCTTGTAAAATAGCCCCTGGTGCTTTTAAATCCAGAATATACTTTGCTACTCCTTGAGATAGCTGAAGCAGTTTTATCGTATAATACAGTCTGCATCAGAAGTAACTTGCACCAACCAAGTGAAGCAGGAGAGCAGGCTTCCCAGAGGTGCTCTCTGTGGGGCTAATGTTCTCCCACTGTAGTCACCAAAAATCCTCCTAATTTCTAAATGAGCAAAGTCTGGTCAAAGCCTAACAGCTTCTGAAAATACTGTGGTCTTATTGTATGCTGCTTTGTTTCAGCAGTAAAGTTTGTACTAGCACAGAAATGAAATTATTATTAAAGCTACGTGAGGCAAAGGTACCTATCTTATAGCCAGGAAAGCAGCAGTTACAAAAACACTGATGTTTTTTTTAGGCTAGACTTCAAAGTGATCTGTTTTCTGTCCTCCAGGAAGAAGGTTTTGCAGCATCAGAAAAACAAAGATATAAAACAGCAGGAAAGAAAACAGAGTTGGATGATAAACATAAAGTGACTTGCATAGGAGATGACAAACTTCACGATACAGACCATGTCAGAAGAGGACAGACAGAAAAAACAGCAATGAGCTCACTTGCAACAAAGCAAAGACAGACATGATCGACGAGAATTCAATAAATGCACAATTGATGAAATTTAGGAGCTGAAATTTCAGGTAAACTGCTTATAATAGAACAGTGTTACATTTATTAAGCAAATCAAGTTCTGATTTAGGTACTGTGTCTGTAGAATATCTTTATGGATAATTGTATCATTTTAATAACTGAGAAACTCTATGTCCACCCACATTGAATTTCAGCATCCTCATGCTTTACTCCAAGGTGTTATATTAAATTCCTAATTATTTGGACTCGACTTTACAATTATGGAAAGACTAGGTAAACTAGTATGACCACTAAAAGCCTAAACAGATGCGGAGCAAGTGTCTAATGAAGCTCCAATTTGTCTACAGTTCTCTGTAGTCAGCCAGAGGAATTCAGCATAGCGATTTCTTTTTGTAGAAAGCCCGAAGGAATGGAGAAACAATACAAGCTGACAGCTGAAAATATTTTTTCAGGATTAAAGCAGAAGAAAAAGTAGCTGGAGGGTAAAGGACCTGCTACTGTAGATATAAAGAACAAAATGCTCAGAGATCCAGCATTCAAACCATGGAATTTTTTATATTCCCATGAAAATGAACCGAAACCTTAATACCATCAGCTACAAAAAGATTACAGATATATATAGGTCATGTCACTAATACTAACCATGAAATCTGATCCTTCAGGAGAGTTAAGCATCCGGGGAGTCTCGTTAGTGGGACTGCTCATGGTATAAAGCGTATGAACATGGCCATAAGCTGCAGTGTGCAGTTACTTAGCAGCACCAGCACTTCTCCCCTGCAGAAAATAGGGAGACAATTCAGAGTATGCTACTGCCTATTGAAAAAGGCGGCTAACTGGTGTTTAACCTAGGTAAGAGCCTGCAAAGAGACAGGACTTGAAGTGTCAATAGTTTATGTGCCTATACTGAACATTGGACACACATTCAAGTACTTTCCTGAGTTACGGTCCTAGATAACGCAAATGAAATGCACTTTTATTTCTTTAGCAGGATCATAAAAGTACAGATAGGAGAGATGCATTGTGAGCCAAGCTGCTCTAAAATCAGTGCCAGCCCACAGAAGCTAATATACATCCATATTCATACCACATGCCCTCTGTGGTCAAGGATGGGACCAGGATGTTCTGTCTGAGGATAATATAAAAGAAGCTGTCACCACAAAGACTAAATTGTGTATTTTATTCCATTGATTGTATCTTTAATTGTTTAAAGCATAAGAACATGGAATTACACAGTCACATAATTGGATTTAAGGCACACAATGTACAAATATTTATAAAATCGGTGTACAAAGTGGGCTGCATATAATTGCATTAAGTAGAAAACAAATGTACAGGCCATAAAAATGGAGTCCCAAAAAGGAGGATATTATTAAAGTGCTAACAAGAAAAAGATATACATAGTTCATTACATGCATTAAAACAGCCTCATATTTTATTCCTGTGGTTGCCAAGAAACAACAAACATCATAGAACAAAAGTTAAATCAACAGTTTGTCCAGCGCTGACATCCACCACGTGGGTTTGTTGCACCATGTCCTCTGAGGTTGCTGTGACAGAATAGGTGCCAGGAGAAACTTCAATGTAGATGTCTTCAGAAGCACATCGGATCTTTAGGGGGGGAGGAAAAAAAGTTTCATTACTGTTTAGCCATCTTAGACTTCTCACAAAAATAAAAATTTTGAATTTGGGTAAAAAAACATACTAAAATTTTTCAAAATATACAGGCAGCATGGACAAAACTGTAAAATGTTTCTGTCAATACAGAAATTAGCAAGAGGCATACTCAAAGTATTTCATCTAATGTTCTAATGTTTCAATCAATGGAAATAATCAACATGCTGTAATCTCTACCTCACAAAACTGAAAGTTGCCAACCGAAACTGTTTTGAACATAAACCTGGAAAACATCCATACAACAAGGATGCTGCCACTAATTTCTACTGTGGTATGCATTCCATGTTTCTCATCTTTTGTGGCTTAGAAGTTCCCAAAATTGATTCAGTGAGGTGTTAGACTTTGAAAAATAAAAAAAAGTTTTCTTCTCCTTGAGGAACAGGAGTCTTCAGAGAAAGTGTATGAGGGCCAAGCACAACTGGCTAAGCAACTGCCATGTGCCTTGCTGCATGCCTTCCCTCGGCACAGTGCCTGTGTCAGGAGCACAAATGAGGTGAGACTGGAGGACTGCTGGGTTATTGCTGCTGATGCAAATCACAAGAGCCTGAAGATGAATCAGTGTTTGACATTCTGTACCAGTCCAAAATATAAAGTAGACTCTTAACTAGTTATGTGCCAGAATGCCACAATCTGGTTAACTGTGCTAGTCTCTGTATGCTCATTCTACTGCCCACCTATACGTATATTAGGACTGTGAACGGACCACTGGTTAATCTTCTGTGCCATCACTAAGTCTTCACACCTGATCACAAATTTTAACCAGTTTGATGCAAAATAAAAAATAAAGAAGCGCTATACCTCAATTTAAAAACAAAGTATTCCATAAACTTACACGTTGCTGGCAAGTTTGAGCTTGACGGGATGTGACAGAGGCTTCAATCCTCTGGAAAGAAAAAGATACTGTTTTCTGATACAACACAAAAGGCAGATTCAGCCCCTGAGAGAGGGGATGCTTTATGTCTGTGAAATCTTCCCCTCCACAAAAGAACGATATGACACTGAGTGGTGCCACCAGAAGTTATTCTGCCTCCCCTTGCTGAGAGAAGGCTCAGATCAGTCCAGGTATTCATATGCCCATGGGATGTCAAACCACATAAGTTTACTGTAAGCAAGTGTCACAGACGCTAGATGAATAACAATTGTCCTGTAGGAGGGAAGCAATAACCTTTAATCAAAACCAAAGCCACCTACTTACCTCTTCTTCGGAGGCCGCCAGCTCTCTTTCCCCTGCTTGCCTGCCATGATATCTGCAGATGTGCTTGATTTCATGCTCTTTGCATCTACAGGCTGCCATGAAGCTATAGTACTTCTGGACAACAATAGAAACAGAGAATATTATGTGGAGAAGCATCAAAGCCACGCTCACAACTACCGCAGATTTACAATTAAAAGTGGAACTGCACAGCTACTGACCTTCTGTATTAATTGGCTGGTTTGTTCTCATGTGAGAATGAAAACAATGCCTGGATATCCACAGGACATCTGCCTTCTGGTACAAGACTGTCAGCCCTGATTTTAGATGCTTGTGTTCCATACACAGGGACTCTCTGACACGTCAGAACTGAGTTAGTGAAAGTATTAGAAGGAATGCTCTGGAAACATCTACCTGATCAGGCCCTTCAAGAAAAGCTCTGGTGGAAGAAGGCATAGTTTATGGGCCCTTAATAGGATGTATATGCAAACTAAGTCCTTTGCAGCCTAACCAGTGAAGCCTGGTTCTGCAGGGCACATGCAGGAGCACTGCTCTAAAAGCAGGACATGTTAATACTGAAAAATGAGTTGGTGAAGAAGCTAAGGTGTCTTCAAGGCTGGTACCAGTAGCATGGTGGTTTTGAGAATTGCATTTAACTCCACACCAGCCCTTTTCTGGCTCCATAATAAAGGCACTTGAATCTTTCCCCACTGCAAATTAAGTATTTGAGTGCAGCTCTGCTGCCATCTGCTGTCACCACAGAATTCCTCCCAGAGTTACCTTTTTGATCACAGGGACCAAAAAATTTCAAAATACCTATTTTATTTTACTTGTATTTTCCTTGTGTCTGACTGTCAAAACTAACCATAGCAAACATGAGGCCAACAGCAGTTCTTATTTCCAAATCTTCTGCTGTGTGTTATTCCTTGAGGTTATGCACACATCAACAGATTTGGCTGCTTATATTGAGGGTTACTGTGGAGCTATGTCCCAAAATATATTGAATACTCTGATCTTTTGCATAACGCTTCACAGAGCATCTCTGTGTCATAAGAGGTGAGCTGGATTCTTTTACATGATGTCACAGAAGAAATGGAATCAAACGTTTGGTAAGAAATGTGGGTAAACTTTGGTCTCTAAATAACTCTAAACAACTCATCTTAAATCATATGATTTTAATCATTTGCACTCAGTGCCATTCAAGTGCCTAAATGGTTATGTTTGGCTGTAGATCTTTATTTTGTAAACTTTACCCACAAACTTGTGGGTCTGAGAATTCCGCCCCCCCCCCAGTAACTGAAGCAGTAGTGTCTTGGCCAATGCATAAATGTGGAAGTCATCCACTGCTTATTCTGCTCTATTACAGCCTCCTAACAGGACATAGGATGAGTCTCTATACATTGTTATATTTTTGTTTCACCTTGTGTAAAAATCTATTCTGCCTGAGTTGTTTTAGGATTAACTGGTTACTTTGCATGGAGTGCTTTGGAATAATAAAGGAGTTGCTTAGGCGATAATAATCTGGTGTGTGTTGAACTACTGTTTTCTGTAATTTAATTGAAGACTTAGCCTCTGTTATTAACTCTGCAGACAATGAACTCCATGCTGCATGATAATAACAGACCCCGAAGGGCAGAGATGATGCAAACTGTGATGGAGTTTTCAGAGACTTTAATGCAGCAGTCGGGCTGCAGGGCTCTCTTCGCAAGGACGGGCTGGCAGAGACGGGCTCCCGGTGGGCTCCCGGTCCGTCTGCCCAGAAGAGCAATGACACCCGGCAGCCAGAATGCGAGCACAGCTGTGACACTGCAGTTTCACAGCGAGTATGTGCCAACATGAAAGCAGGGGAGCTGTACAACTGTACGCAAACCTGAATTTCTACCTATCACAAATAAAGATATGGTGCTGCTTAGAACCGAGCCCATAATCCAGTAGCGACATCTCAAATGATGTTTGCTTAAACGGTGCAAGACATGCAAGATTCAGAAGTTACGGATGTAAAATGGGGAGGTTAACTCTGAATGCAGATTGAATACATGCCACAAAGCAATCCCTTTGCTTGAGATTACTTCTGCCAACCAGAACACACTGACTGTATCAACCAGCATGACTGGTTCATGTTGGCATGATGAAAACAAAGGGTTATTGCGTTGTAAAGCCTCTCCACAACAGAGGT